AATAATTGTTTGACGAGTCCTCTTTTTCACCTATTAATGGTCATTCTGGCTTACACGTGGTAATGGGACTGTGGAGGGTCATGGTTTGCCATTGTGGGGTCACTACGTCTGTAAACAAAGAAACACAGTGACTCTTTGGCCTGTGTTTCCTGTGTTGGGAAGGAAACACTTCCTTCCCTTCCAGGTTCTAAGGCTAGTCTACCGATTAAAAAGGACCCAGGCCTCCGTGGTGGCTCAGTGGTAAAGCATCCTCTTGCCAACACAGGAGATACATGTTTGATCCCTGGGTCGGGAAGATTCCTTGGAGAAGGGAATGGCAACCCATTCCAGTATTCTTGCCTGGAGAATTCCATGGACAGAGGAGTCTGGCAGGATACAGTCCATGGGGTTGCAAAGATTTGGATTCGACTAACACTTTCACTTTCATATTTAACTGAAATCATCACTGAAATATAGAGAACCCCCAAGGCTTTCCTAGTTCCTTCTGAATTCCTTCCCTGTTCTACCCCCACCCTGACCCCTGGTGATCACTGGGGTCTGCTTCTTATTCTTAGAGTCAGTCAATCCCATATCCTTCTGGGTTTTCCTTCGTCCAACTGTAATATTTTATTTATTATATTTTATTTTTCCCACTATGTGTGTGGAAGATGCATAAACAGAATCCAGAAGTTTGGCTGAATGCACTCCTGGCCTTCTGAGCAGCCCCTGGGTGTAAGGCTTCCTTTCCTTTGAATCGTATCTGGATCCCACTGCCAAGGTCTCCACGTGGCACGGTCTCCTGTTGATTGTTTCCAAATCCCCAAGAGTAAACTGATCAGACTTACAGGGCAGAGAGGAGAGTGATGGAGAGAGAGAGTCTTTGAGAGCAGCCCCTCCCGAGTTAGGGAGCACAGCTGTTCGGTGGACATGTTCCTGGAACTCACATGATGTATGGTGCACAGTTTCACATGAATAATTTACCGCCATGCTCGCAAAAGGCTTAAAAAAAAAAAAAAGTAGAACATGCATATGGCATGTCACTCTTTCCCCATAGTACCATCCTCCTTTATTTCAGAGCGTGATGTCTCCAGAAGTGAATCGATCTTGGAGGTAGTGAATTTAAACAGTTTGGCATTGGATTAGATCCTGATTTAAAGTTTTATTTTTAATATTAAAAAGAGGAGTGTTACTTTTATATCCCAGAGAAGCAATGAGTAAACAAATAAAAAATTCATTAGAGACAGGCTGCTACCTCCGAGATGAAAGTTTGATGTGAGAACTCGGCTTTCAAAAAGCCTAAAACCTAGTCAGTGGGTCATTAGCACAGCAGGCAACCGGGCTAAAAAAGAACGATTTCAGGATGGGCGATGTCTGCGGTCTTCATTTCTTCAAGGTTTCAAAAATTAGCTTAGCACTTTCCCAATGGGGAGAATACTTACTGTTAACGGCTACGGTCATGGTTATGTTGAGAAAATTAAATTTCAACTATGCTTTGGAGTCTTACATGTGGTGTTTCTTCCTCAATTTTACTTGCACAGACTTGGAAGAGAAAATTTTGGAGAGGAAATGAAGTGTTCTAATATTACTCAGGTCATATCTGGGGTGAAACTTTCATTTTAATAATGCCATCAAGCCCCACGGCTGAAATTCAAGGTCATGGCGTACAGCGTACATACATATACACTTGTAGTTTTCATTTACATGGGGATGTTTTCCTTTTTCGGCGATGCCACACTTCTTTGCTCGATGGAGTCCTCCTTGTCTTATAAGAATGGAAATCTCTATGAGGATGCTTATCCAAATTCGGCCAATCAGAGCACTTCATCTCTCCCAGGCATAGTGATTGGTCCAAGAAGGACCAATCAGAATCTTTCCCTGGCTTGTGCTAGGTTTTTTTCGCTCCATGGTCTTGCTATATAATAAGCAAGAAGCCTTCACTTTAGCTGGTTTTTCTAGGCTGAAGCAATGTATGAATACAAGTAGGCACAAGGCTACCAGATGGCAACTACCCCACGAAATGGAGGAAGCCAATTTGAAGTATGAAAAAATATATGAGGACTAAACGTAATTGCAGGGAAGAAATAGAGATGCAGAGGTAGAGAATAGACTAGTGAACACAGTGGGGGAGGGCGAGGGTGGGACGAATTGAGAGCATCATTGACATACATATGCACACACACACACACACATATATGTTTGTGTATATACATATATTACTGTGTGCAAAATAGATAGCTAGTGGGAAGCCTCTGGGAGCACACGGAGCTCAGCCTGGTGCTCTGTGATGACCTTGAGGGGTGGGATGGGAAGGTGTAAGGGCGGCTCAAGAGGATACATGTATACTTAGAGCTGACTCATGTCACTGTACAGCAGAAACCAGCACAACATTATAAATCAATTGCAGTTGTTGTTCAGTCAGCAAGTTGTGTCTGACTGTTTGCAACCCTGTGGACTGCAGCATGCCAGACCTCCCTGTCCCTCACTGTCTCTCCAAGCTTGCCCAAGTTCATGTCCTTTGAATCTGATTCCATCCAACCATCTCATCCTCTGCTGCCCCCTTCTCTTTCTGTCTTCAATCTTTCCTGGCATCCGTGTCTTTTCCAGTGAGTCGGCTCTTCCCATCAGGTGGCCAAAGGATTGGCACTTCAGCATCAGTCCTTCCAATGAATATTCAGGGTTGATTTCCTTTAAGATGGGCTGGTTGGATCTCCTTGCAGTCCATGGGACTCTCAAGAGTCTTCTCCAGCACCACAGTTTGAAAACATCAATTCTTAGGCGCTCTGCCTACTTTATGGTTCAACGCTCACATTTGTTCATGACTACTGGGAAGACCATAGTCTTGACTATAGGGACCTTTTACAAAGCAATTATCCTCCCATTAAAAATTTAAAACATTAAATTAAAAAAAAAGATAATGTGGAAAGGAGCCAAGGGATGGAGAAAGAGAGCGCTCTGACAGCATCACATACTGGTGGAGCCAGGCATGCCTAAAGCTGGGGCTCAGTAAGCCCGTCTTCACATTGCTTGTTGCTGTTGTTGAGCAAACTTGAGTCAGGTTTCTGCCCTGCAATGGAAAGAACCTTTGCTAATCTCACATTTTATGGAAAGTCCTTCCCTCAGATCATCTGATTATAGGATAAAAGACTGACCACCCAAGGAAAATCATCTCCACATTTTAGTAGTTTAGCTTCCCCAACTTTGGAGTTCTCTTGAGATTAAAAAGAACCTTTTGGCATCATGTTGGGTTTATAGGGCAGTTGAAAGGGTATAAAATATGGAGTCTTTTAGACCTGGTTTGGAATCCTGGATTTTTCAGCTAACTTCTTGGGCAGGTGGCTTCCTCTTTTTGAGCCTCGGTTTCTTTGTATATAAAATGAGGATGGGTTAGTAACTGTTCACAGAATATGGCGATCTGAACCACCTAGATAAACTAAATCAGAATCCCTGGAGATGACATTTGTTGTTTTTGTTGCTTAGACACTAAGTCATGTCTGACCTTATGACCCCATGAATGTAGCCCACCAGGCTCCTCCGTTCATGGGATTTCCTAGGCAAGAATACTGGAGTAGGTTGCCATTTCCTTCTCTGAGGTATCTTCCTGGCCTAGGGATCGAACCTGTATCTCCTGTGTTGGCTGGTGGATTCTTTACCACTGAGCCACCAGGGAAGCCTGGAGATGAAGTTTAGATGTGGACTTTTGGCAAAAACATTCCACCTGATTCTACTGTGGGTCTGTGTGTAAGAACCTCTGGAGCTGGTGAGATCTAAGACAGGAGCTCTCCAAGTCTAGCTGCCTGCCAGTGCCCCAGACAACACTAGCAACCAAAATTCCAAAGCTCTGTGGAGGGGCTCAGAGGTCTGCCTCGTAAACAGGCTTTCTAGCTGATTTTGATGCATGCCGTTAATGGACCTCAGGTTGAGAGGGGGGAAAAAAGAGCCTTAAGCTCTCTTTCATCTTTGACATGCTAAGAATCTGCTGGGTCAGGTATTGACTGGGCAGTATTGATCAGAAAGGGAATCTTCATTGGAGCAGTGAAAAGTCTAAGAGTTACTTTTCAGAAATATTAGAATGAAGTCAGGAGAAAGACTGTAGGTCCACAGGACACTATCAAGATGAATACAAGGAGGAGAAAGTAGTGAAAATAGGTGTGCTTGAGACCACAGGAGTGGGAGAAGCCAAGAGCACAGAGTCAGAAAGAGAAGATTTGAGGTCCTATTCAAGGTCTTAACTGCTTAACTGCACTCACCTTTCCTCCAGCAGTTCCAATGCCTCCTCATGAAAATTACAAGGGAAAAGCCTTATAAAAAGGAAGCAAAAGCTCTTTTGGACTTCCCTGGTGGTACGGTGGGTAGGAATCCGCCTGCCAATGCAGGGGGAGCAGGTTCAATCCTTGATCTGGGAAGATTCCACATGCCCTGGGGCAACTAAGCCCATGCAGTACAACTACTAAAGCCTGTGTTCCCTAGAGCCTGTGTTCTGCAATGAGAGAAGCCGCCACAGTGAGAAGTCGAGCAGAGCAACCAGAGAGGAACGCTGCTCGCTGCAACTAGAGAAAGGCCCGCACAGCAGTGATGAGCCAGTACAGCCAAAAACAAATAATTGATTCTTTAGACATGGGAAAATCCCCTGAGAAATGTTTTAGGGAGGAGTTTGGGAGAAGTTGGGGGGAAACAGATGAAAGATGAGATCGTGAGGAACAAAATTTGGATTATATATGGAAGCATGAACCAAGGTATTTATTGACTTTGTATTTTATTTATTTATTTTTTTGGCTGCTCAGTTGTGTCCTTCTCTTGGTAACCATAGGGACTGTAGCCCTCCAGGCTCTTCTGTCCATGGGATTCTCCAGGCAGGAATATTGGAGTGGGTAGCCATTTCCTCCTCCCAGGGATCGTCCCAATCCAGGGATCAAACCTGAGTCTCCCTCATTGCAAGCAGATTCTTTACCATCTGATGCACCAGGGAACTCCCTGGTAGGGCTTTGGTAGAGGTAATTGTACACAAACAGAATGTTCCATCTCTAGCCCGTTGCATCCTCGACGTTGGTGTCTCGTGGAACTGAGAACTGGGACCCGCTGGGCTCATCCTCCTGGACTATGTAGGGCAGGCTGGAGAGCCCCGTGATTACAACTGTCAGCGTAGCTTACTTCCTGCCTAAGTCTATCACCCTGAGCTAAGTCTGACTGGGGCTCCAGGAACCAAGAAGCTTTCTGACTTTCCTATGTACCACTCTGGGACAGAAGGGTTTCCTCAGTTGCTTCACTGAATTGGGTTTCTGTGTGTCCAGCATGGTTTAGTATGACACCCCTTAATTTGCTGAGAAAACGGGAAAATAGAATCCATGGAGAGCCTCACAAAGTGGGAGACTCTTCATTGATTGGGGGAATCCCAGCTTTGGGGGGCGGTGATCAGCAGCTTCTTACACACCACCCACACTCATGAGCCTTGCCTTCTGAGATTCACACCCTCTGTCCGCCCCTCCTCTGGAGTCTGTGGTTGAACCTACTGACTTCCTTCGGACACTAGACCATGTCAGTTCTGAGAAATAAAAGTGAAAGTCGCTCAGTCGAGTCTGCCTCTCTGCAGCCCCATGGACTGTAGCCTGCCAGGCTCCTCTGTCCATGGAAATCTCCAGGCCAGAATACTGGAGTGGCCTGCCATTCCCTTCTCCACGGATTCTTCCCAACACAGGGATCGAACCCAGGTCTCCCACATTGCAGGCAGATTCTTTACAAGCTGAGGCACCAGGAAAGCCCAAGAATACTGGACTAGGTAGCCTCTCCCTTCTCCAGGGGATCTTCTGACCCAGGTATCAAACTGGGGTCTCCTTCAGTGCAGGCGGATTCTGTGAGAAGATGTTATAAAATATCGTGGTTTCCACCTTGCAGATGCGCTGTGTGCTCTTTCCCCTCCGTTCAGTTCAGTTCAGTCACTCAGTCATTTCTGACTCTGCAACCCCTTGGACTGTAGCACGCCAGGCCTCCCTGTCCATCACAAACTCCTAGAGTTTGCTCAAACTCATGTCCATTGAGTCGTTAATGCCATCCAACCATCTCATCCCCTGTCGTCCCCTTCTCCTCCTGCCTTCAATCTTTCCCAGCATCAGGGTCTTTTCAAATGAGTCAGTTCTTTACATCAGGTGGCCAAAGTACTGGAGCTTCAGCTTCAACATCAGTCCTTCCAATGAACACCCAGGACTGATCTCCTTTAGGATAGACTGGTTGGATCTCCTTGCAGTCCAAGGGACTCTCAAGAGTCTTCTCCAACACCACATTTCAAAAGCATCAATTCTTTGGTGCTCAGCTTTCTTTATAGTCCAACCTCTCACATACATGACTATTGGAAAAACCAGAGCTTTGACTAGACAGACCTTTGTTGGCAAACTAATGTCTCTGCTTTTTAATATGCTGTCTAGGTTGGTCTTAACTTTTCTTCCCCAGAAAACTAACCAATCCGATCACATGGACCACAGCCTTGTCTAACTCAATGAAACTATGAGCTATGCCATGTAGGGCCACCCTAGACGGACAGGTCATGGTGGAGAGGTCTGACAAAATGCGGTCCACTGGAGAAGGGACTGGCAAACCACTTCAGTATTCTTGCCTGAGAACCCCATGAACAGTATGAAAAGGCTCTTTCCCCTGGTTTTCTGTAATGAGGAAGACTGCTAAGCTTCTCTGTGGATAGATACACATGGTGGGAACTGAGGAAGTTCTCTGGGCCACAGCCAACAAGAACTTCAAGCCTTCAGTGCAACTGTCCATAAGGAAGTCAGCATTGCTAATAACCTTGGCAGTGAGCTGGCATGTGGATCCTCTCCCCCCAAACCTTGAGGACAATGGTGGCTCCATCAAGCATTGTGAGTGGAGGCTTGGGAGAGATCCTGAGCCAGAGACCCTGGCAAACTGCATCTGGACTCCCGGCCCACAAGCTGTGAGAATAAACATTTGTTATTTTAAGCTGCTAAATATTGGAGTAACTTGTTATGTGGCAATAGATAAGTAATACTTGGGCTTAGGGGTTTCGCAGGTGGCACTAGTGGTAAAGAACCTGCCTGCCAATGGAGGAGATACAAGAGACCTGGGTTCAATTTCTGAGTTGGGAAGATCCACTGAAGAAGAGAATGGCAACCCACTCCAGTATTCTTGCCTGGAGAATCCCATGGACAGAGGAGCCTGGCGGGCTACAGTCCACGAGATCACAAAGAGTTGGACACGACTGAAGTGACTTAACACGCACAGCTGTTCTGTCTGTATAAGTCAGGGAACCCATTTCAAAAGTTCTAGAAACACGATATCAGTGACAGGTCCATGTGGCGTGAGGAGCACTTCCAAGGCTCTGCTGTGGAAAAAAGACCAAGCTTCTAATCTGGCTCCACCAAGTTTTTAAAATATTTCTTTATTTATTTGGCTGCACCAGCTCTTAGTTGTGGCACATGGGCTCTCCAATCTTCTTGCAGAATGCAGAATCTTTGATTATGGCATGTGAACTGTCAGTTGCAGCATGTGGGATTTAGTTCCCTGACCAGGGATTGAACCATGGCCCCTTGCTTTGGGAGCATGGAGACTTAACCACTGGACCAGCACGGAAGTCCCTGACTTCACCAGTTCTATTAGCTGTACAACCTCCTCTCACTTCTCGGTGTTCCAATTTTCTTATTTGGAAAAGAGAGATACCTTGAAAGGTCAAAATTATAGATAAAGTGGTTCTTATTACAGAGCTGATGATGCTTTCATGGGCTTTCATGGTGGCTTAGTGATAAAGAATCCTCCTGCAATGCAGGAGACGCTGGAGATGCTGGTTCAATTCCTGGGTCGGGAAGATCCCCTGGAGAAGGGCATGGCAACCCACTCCAGTGTTCTTGGCTGGAGAATCCCATGGACAGAGGAGCCTGGTGGGCCATGGTCCATAGGGTCACAGAAGCGACTTAGCATGATACTTTCATATTGTTGATATAAACAAGCAGATTTACAACATGTGGTTGGCAGGATTATAAGATGGCCCCCCCCTTGTTCTGTATCATTGAGAGTCCCCTTGGTTAACATGCTGTGAGTAATTTCCTTCCCTGGAGTGTGGGGGAAGCCTGTGACTATAATATCAGTCCCCTGAATAAGTTTCTTTTTTAATATATATATTTTTTTATCGGCTGTATTGGATCTTCGTTGCTTCATGGGGTTTTCTGTGGTTGCAGGACCACCAGGAAAGTCCCAGAGTGGGACATTGTTAATGAGTAAAGAGATAGTGAAAAAGCAAAGACATTGGGCTTCTATGCCTTGAGGGTTGAGGATGGGGCTGGGTCAGGGGAGAAGGAAGCCCTGTGATTATTCCAAATTGCTGCTTCTGAACCACCCTCTTGGAGGAGAAAGGGACGACAGAGGATGAGGTGGTTGGATGGCATCACTGACTCAATGAACATGAGTTTGAGTAAGCTCTGGGAGATGGTGATGGAGGGAGGCCTGGTGTGCTGTAGTCCCTGGGGTCGCAAAGAGTCGGACATGACTGAGGACAGAACTGAACTGAACCACCTTCTTGGATCCACCCTCTGGATTCACAGTCCGCCTCCTTTGGGATTTAGAACTCAGTGACTCGGCCAGGACAATACCCCAAAGACAAGCTTTTAGTATGTGTCGAGTTTTTTTCTTCTAGAAACTGAGAGTCCATGGCAACAAGTGGAAGAAAACTACCTAAATGCTTGGGTTCCTTGGAGGATCGAGGCGAGCCTGGGCTTGCCTTCCTGAGAAGCACGGGGTTCTCCACTCGGGCTGAGCGCTAGGATCCCAGTGACAAAGCCGGTGACATTTCAGCATCACCTCAGGGATCTCACTGCAGGGGCTTAGCTTACAGGAGAGTTGGAAATAGGGTGGGGTCAGGAGGGTTCCCTGTGGTCTGAAGCGTCATTGTCTCTTACGGGAGCAACGTGTGGCTATTGAGCCCCTGAAATATGACTGATCCAGATGGCGATGATGGGCCATGAGTGTAAAGTTCCCAACAGACACCAGGCTTAGTACAAGGAAGAAAATGCAAGCCTTGCTGTAATAGATTTTTGTATTGATAACACATCAAAATGATCATACTTTATACACCCATTTAAATGAAAATAAATCATTAAAACAAGTAAGGAATATATGATGATATATTATTATGAAATTAACTTCATCTCTTTAAAAACTTTTTGTCATGGTTGCTAGATCATTTAAAATTACATATATATCTTGCATGATGTTTTGATTGAGTGGAGCCCATGTAAAGCATGAAGAGGTCTATACCAGGGAAGGTAGATGGAGAAAGAAATGCAACCTTGGATTAAACCATACAATCCAAATAAATCTATATAAAGATCACTAGAGAAGAAGTAAATTCCTGGGGCCTTCTCTGGTGGCTCAGTGGTAAAGAAACTGCCTGCAACACAGGAGATGAGGGTTCAGTCTCTGGGTTGGGAGGATTCCCCTGGAAGAGGAAACGGCCACCCACTCCAGTGTTCTTGCCTGGAGAATTCCATGGAGTGAGGAGCCTGGGGGGTTATAATCCATGGAGGCACAAGAGTTGGATATGATGGAGCACAAGCTAGAGCGAGCGAGAGCCGTAAGTGATGTATTTGTCATGCACACAGATTTGTAACAATCAGTGGGAAGAGTTCCCCAGTCTTTCACTCCCTCCCTTCTTTGCTTCCTTCCTTTCCTCCTCCTCCTTCTGCTTCCTCTCTCGCTCCCTCTTTATCTCTGTCTCTCCTTTGAACTTTCTAGGCAGTTGATCCTTTCCTCTCCCAGCCAGTAGCACTGACTATGTTTGTCCAATAACCCTGCTCCAGACCAGACGTCTCTCGCCCCAACACCTAGCTGAGCTCCTGGCCGGCTGGCACTAACGGAGCAGTGTTTTGGGAGAATTGGAGAGTTATTGCTCCATCTTACGGAGGCTTCAGATCACTGTTCCCAGGGCTTTCCTGGTGACTCAGGTGCTAAAGAATCTGCCTGCAATGCAGGAGATCGGGGTTCAATCCCTGGGTCGGGAAAATCCCCTGGAGGAGGGCATGGCCACCTACTTGTCTTCCTTCCTGGAGAATCCCATGGACAGAGGAGCCTGGTGGGCTACAGTCCACGGGGTCACAAAGAGTTGGACACACTGAGTGAGTAACACACACGAGGGGGCTTCAGCTCACTGTTGCCAGGAGAGAATGTGGACTCGCTTCTGCCCCACTTTCCAGTTTTTCAAGGGAAGAATTCTGTGAAATCTCCCAATTCTCAAACTTTGGACATGAGCTCGTTTCTTGCAAAGACCTTCACAGACCCAGCAATAGAGTCTTAGAGAACAGATGTAACCCCTTCAGCCACCCCTACCAGCCTGCCGCTGGGACTCAGCCACAATACCCTGGTTTTTGATGTAGGATAGACAGAGTATTCGCTTCCTTCCTGAACCTACCTCGAGGATTTAGAGGTTGAAACTGAGGCATTAATACTAGGAAAACTGGTGGCTGGAATTTCCTGATGATCCAGTGGCTAAGAATCCGCCTGCCAGCGCAGGGACAGGGGTTCGATCCCTGACCCGGGCAGATGCCACGTGCTGCAGGACAGGTAAGCCTGTGGGCCACAAGTACTGAGCCTGTGCGCCCTGGAGTCCATGCTCTGCAACAAGAGAGGCCGCTGCAGTGAGAATCCTTCACGCCACAACTAGAGAAAAGCCCTTGCCCAGCAGTGGAGACCCAGCACGGACAAAACTAAAATAAATGAAGGAAAAAATGGTGGTAGCCTATTGGAAGGTCTAAGAGATGAGCCGTGGCCCAATCTTTTTGACCCCAGGGACCGGTTCTGTGGAAGACAATTTTTCCATGAACTGCGGTGGGTTGGGGATGGTTTGGGGCTGATTCAAGTGCATTAGATTTATGGTGCAATTTATTTCTATTGTCTTCACTGGTGGCTCAGATGGTAGACAATCTACCTGAAATGCAGGAGACCTGGGTTAGATCCCTGTGTCGTCGAGAAGGTCCCCTGGAGAAGAGAATGACAACCTCCTTCAGTATTCTTGTCTGGAGAATCTCATGGACAGAGGTGCCTGGCGGGCTATAGTCCATGGGGTCGACAGAATCCGACACGACTGAAGCAACTTAGCATGCACGTGCCCTTCAATGTAATCCTGTTTTTCTCTGTTTTAGTCGCAAGGAAGAGGAGGCTTCGTGGGGTTAAATACCTTGACCTGGAACAACATGATGGTGCTGAAATTCACACAGGGTGCAGGGTAGCTCTAACACTGTGTCGCCCGGCAATTGGGGGCAGGGGTAGGCGTGGCTACACATTTGTGGATCTGCAAACCCAAAGCAGAGACACAGCACCACCCCCAACCCCGGCACTGGGCTGTTTCCTGGGTGGTGAGCATGAAGACTCCAAAGTGCTACAATGGTTTCTAAGAACAGTTTCATTAATTGAGCATCCTCCCTGGTTCCCCAAATTTAACCAAGCTTGGAACTCCTTCCTGCTATTAAAAAATCCAATGCCTTTCTTCTTTTTTGGCCATGCTGTGCGGCATGTGGGATCCTAGTTCTTGAACTGTAACCGCTGGACCGTCGGGGAAGTCCCCAGTATCTCACTTTTTAGGGTCTGGGGACTTCCCTGGTGGTCCAGTAGTTAAAAATCAGCCTTCCAATGCAGGGAACGTGGGTTCAATCCCTGGTTGGGGAACTAAAATCTCACATGCCTCAGGTCCTGAGTGCTGCAACAAAGACTTAGGGTAGCAAAGAAAAAAAAGACCCCCACACAGAGAAACACCTGGGGTTTGATTTTTGCTGCCCAGGGGGAGGTGAGTGACTTCCAGAACCAAACTTCTCAGTGCCACAGAATCTCATGAAATTCTAACCAAAACCCTGTGAAGCATTTCACCGACATGAAAACCGAGCACCAGAGAGGCTGATTAAGTTACCTAAGGTTGCACAGCTGAGAAGGTAGATGATAGCAGGTGTGTGTGTTAGTCACTCAGTCGTGTCCAACTCTTTGCCACCCCAGGGACTGTAGCTCACCAGGCTCATCTGTCCGTGGAATTCTCCAGGCAAGGATACTGGAGTGGGTTGCCATTCCCTTCTCCAGGGGATCTTCCTGATCCAGGGATTGAACCCGGATCTCCGGCATTGCAGGCCGTCTGAGCCACCAGGAAGCCCAACACAGAGAGGAAGGGTCAAAACCCAGGTTCACCTACAGACATTTTTTAAAAGAGGCAAAAGACCTCTAACCACTGAAATTTGTGGTCCCGTTTTCCATTCTGTCTACTGCATGTTCAAGTCTTTGACAAAAATTGGAAATCACAATGATCTGTTGTCTGTATCCACTTGCACAAGTCATTCTTTTCTGTTTCTAAGTGATGGGAAAAAATGAGAAAAAGAAAGAAGGATTTTATGTTTTTCTTCTACCATAAACAATTTTGAATTTCAGCACAAGGTTGCAACTGACTTTGAAAGTTTTGTGTCTTTTTAAAATTTTTTTCCTTCTTACCTCCTTTTCTCACAAAGCAAAAGTATGTGCATTCTCTCTCTCTCTGTCTCTAGGTCTTTAGGGGAAAAGGGGAAGAACAGGGCTTGGGCAAAAAGGGAGATCGCCCAAAAAACTGTACATCATCTAGTCACGCAGTTTAGGAAAATAAAAAAGGAAGCAGCAGCGAGCCAGTTACGCTGACAGCCCCGTCCAGCTGAGCTGCCGTTTCTGCTGGTGCTGAAACCCTCCTTCCAGTAATGAATTTCCCTGCCTGGAGTGTTTGCAGGAGATAAAAGTGGAGCTGTGTGAGGTGCCTCTGACCTGCTTTTCAGTTCCAGACAACTTCCTGGTGTGGTTGCAGAAAGTGTGACTTTCCAGATATGAACAGGGGGCTTTCGTGTGTTGGTCTGCAAACTGCTGTCTGCTTTTTTTTTAAACTCCAGTTCTCCTTGTAAGGTTTGCTAGAGTCTGCATGCTACGAGGCTGCCATTCGCCTGCCCTCCAACCATGACCTGTCTGCTGCAGCACCACCGCGACCCTACATCTCGGGTCTCTGCTCTTCTGCTTTCTACCCTCGGCTGTGCTGTTTCTTCTTTCTTAGAGACTGGGGAAATCTCTCACTCTCCCTGGCTTTTGGCCTCACACAGGCAATCATACCATGTGCCTCAGTCAGAAAGCTAGGATGGCCAAGTCGCAGGCATGGGGCGGGGGTGGCGGGGGGTCCCTGGGGATAATCAATCTCAGGAGGGCGGTCTGTGCTCTCAGAGGCAGACGCTGGGACCCACCTGACTTCCGCCTTTTGAACAAGTGTTTGCCAGACAGTGGAGGAAGTCAAGGGCGAGCTACTTACCTGGGCTGCCGTGAGGAGTAAGCCCAGCAGTGTGCCGCGCTGTGTTCAGCACGGAGCGGCAGGAACGCTGAGTCAGCTCGCGTCCAGGGCTCAGGTCCACCACGAAAGCCGCGTTTCTTGGGCATCACCCACCAGGCTTGCGCCGTAGGCTTCTGCCTCCTGGTGGGTAGCAGGGTAGTGAGAGTACCTAGCTTGCCAGTTTATGAGGAGTAAATGAGATAATACTAATGATGATGATGATAAGCTGCATTTGCTGACCCTTTCCTCTGTCAGAATTAAGACTGTTGTGCTTTTCCACAGGGGCTTCCCTGGTGGCCTACAGTAAAGAATCTGCCTGCAATGCAGGAGCTGCAGGAGACACGGGTTTGATCCCTGGGTCAGGAAGATCTCCTGGAGAAGGAAATGGCAACCCACTCCAGTATTCTTGCCTGGAGAATCCCACGGACAGAGGAGCCTGGTGGGCTGCAGTCCATGGGGTTGCAACGAGTCAGACATGACTGAGCAATTCAGAATGCATGCATGAGCCCTTTACCAGAACTGGCAAATATACTTACGGTCCACTACTGGGTATATTTTGGGCTTCCCTGGTGGCTCAGATGGTAAAGAATCCACCTGCAATGCAGGATTACAGGGTTCAGTCCCTGGGTCGGGAAGAGCCCCTGGAGAAGGGACTGGCAACCCCCTCCAGTATTCTTGCCTGGAGAATCCCATGGACAGAGGAGCCTGGCGGGCTATAGTCCATGGGGTCACAAAGAGTCAGACATGACTGAGCGATGAACATTTTCACTTTCAATGGGTCTTTCTCAGTTATGCTGACACATGAAAATGAACATATTATATATTAGCGCAGGAAGCTGAGCTCCGTGCTCTATGGTGACCAACATGAGCAGGATTTGGGGAAAGGGGGAGGGTCCAAGACAGAAGAGATATACTTATGACTGATCCGCTTTGTTGTACAGCAGAAACTAACATAACATTTTAAGGTAACTATACCCCCAATAAAAATAAATAAAATTTAAAATAAAAAGAACCTTTTGCTCCCCATGTGTGTATACAGATTCATTTTAGATGCATAAACCTGTATGTATAATCAATTGTTATGCATATCATATCAATAGGGTATATGATTTGAATCTTTGAAATATATATGGACACCAATAAATTATACAGATAGATAGAAATGATTTATTGGTAAAAAGAAACAATGCTATATGCCAGACTAAGTGCTTCACATGTTTGAATGCATTTCATTCTCTTAGGAACCCTCCATAGTGGATATTATCTATCATCTGCATTTTATAGAGAGTGTAACTGAAGCATCGAGAGGTGGAAGCTTTCTGAATGCCTCTCTTAAACATGTTCATATATAGACAGCTATGTGTTTATAGTGTAAAGATTAAATGTTTTGTAGGCCGGCTGAGATGGCTTTCAAACAATGTTAGCCAGTCTCATCATTTTGTGGTTGCTCAGTTGCCAAGTCATGTCTGACTCTTTGTGATGGTATGGACCCTAGCCCTAACCCTGCCAGGCTCCTCTGTCCCTGGGATTCTCCAGGCAAGAATCCCGGAGTGGGTTGCCATGCTCTCCTCCAATGGATCCTCCCACCCCAGGGACTGAACCCACATCTCTTGCATTGGCATGCAGGTTTTTTTTTTTAACCAGCGAGCCACCTGAGAAGCCTAATTTCACTATGTTTTGTTCTCAATACAACCTACAGCATTTGCTCCCTCAACACCATTAGTTTTAAAAGACCCTGGGGTGTTTTCATCACAATACTACTTTGCTGCCCAAAATATATTTCCCCTTTGAAGGGAAGAAAAAAAAGTGAAAGTGTTAGTCACTCTGTAGTGCCTGTCTCTTTATGGACACCATGGACCTTAGCCCACCAGGTTCCTCTGTCCATGAAATTCTCCAGGCAAGAACACTGGTGTGGGTAGCTATTCTCTTTGCTAGGGAATCTTCCTGACTCAGGGATCGAACCCCAGTCTCCTGCATTGCAGGCAGAGTCTTTACCATCTGAGCCACCAGGGAAGCCCTTCTGCAGGCCATATACCAATGAGCAAAGCAGGTCAGAGTCAGAGGCACACCCTGGTTCCACTCCCCTAACTTTCCAGGAGGGTGACCAGGACACACTCTATCAACTAAGACTGGGTCTCCTAGGAGACGCTTCAAAAGTGCCCTGGGGCCAGCTGCTCCTAGTCAAGCCCAAATTTCTATCTGTTAGTACTGCAAAAAAGCAGTGAGAAATGGCTGCCTTTGGTCTGACATCAAACGTCAGGTTGAATCTTGAGTGATTGTACAATGGGAGTTTCACATCCTTCAGAAAAGACTGTGTCTTGTGAATTTACATACAAATCTCTCAAATATATAATATATATAATATGGAGTATATAGTATATATATAATATATATGTGCGCACACACACATATCCAGCAGTGAATAAAAAACAAAAAGAACCAAAAGAAAGGGCTGTTTTTCATTTTCGAACAAAAATAGCTCTTTTATCTCTACCCTAGAGAGACTATTTTTTCAGTCTTAATTCTTGACTTTAAGTGTGAAAAAATAGTCACATGTTGTCATGAGAAAGGGTGAGAATATGCATGGATATTCCCAGGTGGTTCAGTGGTAAAGAATCTGCCCGCAATGCTGGAGACTCAGGTTCAATCCCTGGGTGGGGAAGATCCCCTAGAGAAGGAAATGGCAGCCCACTCCAGTATTCTTGCCTGGAGAATCCCATGGACAGAGGAGCCTGGCGGGCTACAGTCCATGGGGTTGCAAAGAGTTGGACATGACTGAGCACATAGGCACCCCTGCCTGCAGCTGGCAAGGGACCAAATCAGGACTCAGACTCAGGATAGCAGCCTGCCCTGGTGGTCCAGTGGCTAGGGGACCCCAGTTTGATCCCTGGTCTGGGAACTAGATCCTACAGGCCATAACTAAAAGACCTGTGGCAGGTAAATAAATAAATAATACTGCTTTAAGAAACTACAGATGAGATGGGGCTCTGACCATCTCCCAGGCATTGTCCATATCTATAAAGCCTGTGTACCACACCTGGTATCACCTCATCACCTCCTCTTGGCTGGCTAGCTCACCTCTGCCCACACTCCAGGTGGACAAGGGGAGTGGTTGCCAAACATGGGCATCCACTGGTTAGGTCTTCTAGGAAACCATTTCACTTCTGCCATCCATTTCTATTTTCTTGACACTTCACGTTAAATATATGTGCCTATTTCCATTTCAGAGAAGAACCTGATTTGGGAGATTCTGATGTAAACAACAGTTTTTGTCATCACTACTTGCTGTTCAGTCATGAGCAACTCTTTGCGACCCCATAGACCAGGCAGGCGGGTTCTTTACCACTGAACCACCAGGGAAGCCCCTATTTCTACTTATATCCTCTGATTTGGACTTGGCCGGGACTCAGCTATAAATCAGCATTTGCAAAGATGACTATTCTGGGGGAATGGTGAAAGACAGGGAAGCCTGGTGTGCTGCAGTCCATGGGGTCGCAAAGAGTCGGACATGACTTACCAACTGAACAACATCATTTCCCCCCTGACCCTGTGCCAGGATAAAGCTGGGGATTTCTTTTTTAAAATTGATATAACCTTACATATTTCATAAGGAGAGTACTAGAAGCCCAAGTTCACCACAACCATCACCACCACCAACATCATCAATAATGAGAGAATTTCGGGAAGAAGATGCAAGCTTCCAGGCCAAAAGTCACTAGACATGACTGGGCAAATCATTGGACCTATCACACCATACTGTCTTCATTTGTAAAATCAGGGTAGCACTGTCTTCAGGGGTCAGTGGACACAGAGCAGTGGAAGCTGATGTAACTTGCACAGTCCCCTGTATAAGGAATTTACAGAGAAGGGCACTGGATATACTTGAAATGGTATAATTCATGCTATGAAGAGAACTGCCTTACTCAAGTCAGCTTTTGACACTTAGAGTTAAGACTTCTTGGTTCTACAGTCTAATGCTGAAAGTTCCCATTGGGCCAGGAGAGCAAGGATGCCTGTTCTGGACTGTCAGACCTGCCACTTGCCTGATGTGTGGTTTAGACACATTCACCTCTTTGGTCTCAGGGTCCTCACCTGTGAATGATAAGCTTGTAATTTACAAAGTGCTGCTGTAAGCCCGTTCCATAGATTGTTTTGTTTATTCCATGAATGTGTGTGTTAAGTCGCATCAGTTGTGTCTGTGTCTGATTCTTCGCAACCCTACGGACCTTAGCCCGCCAGGCTCCTCTGTCCATGGGATTCTCCAGGCAAGAATACTAGAATGGATTGCCATGCCCGTCTCCAGGGGATCTTCCCAACCCAGGGATTGAACCCTCATCTCTTATGTTTCCTGTATTGGCAGGTGGAATCTTTACCACTAGAACCACCTGGGAAGCCCTATTTATTCCACATAACAGTATCAAAAGGCAGGTAGTCTTTCTCATTGGAATTATGGAGGAGAAGCCTAAGGCACAGAGCTTTGGGTTAAGTTACCCTTGACTGCAGGGCTTCATAGAGGCGCAGACAAATCTGCCTACAATGCAGGAGATGCAGGTTCGATCCCTGGGTCAGGAAGATCCCTTGGAGAAGGGCGTGGCAACCTACTCCAATATTCTTGCCTGGAAGACCCCATGGAGAGAGAAGCCTGATGGGCTCTAGTCCATGGGGGTCACAGAGGCGGACACGACTTAGCTGAGCATGTAGGCCCCCTTAACTCCAGCTGGCAAAGGACCAAATCAGGATTCAGTGTAGACACTCCATATTTTAAAAACTTTTGTATATATTACCAATTTGACAGCAGTGTTAAGATAACTAAATGAGATAGGATTGAGATGTTATGAAGAAGGACCTCCTTGGTGGCTGAGTGGTAAGAATCCACCTGCCCGTGCAGGAAACACGTGTTTGATCCCTGGTCGAGGAAGATTCCACATATTGCAAAGCAACTAAGCCTGTGCGCCACAACTACTGAGCCTGCGCTCTAGTGCTGGGAACGGCAACTACTGAAGCCCGGGCACCCTACAGCCTGTGTGCTGCCAACCAGAGAAGCCACCACAATGAGAAGCCTGTGCACTGCAACTCGAGAGTAACCCCTGCTTGCTGCACATGGAGAAAAGCCCATGCAGCAACGAAGACCCAGAACGGCCAAAACTAAATTAATTTAAAATATATATATTGTTAAGTAAATGGGGTAGATAATCCAACCCTGGCAGGAGCATTAAATAATTAAAGGAAGTAAGGAATGTATTATTCTTGGTCTTAGTACAGTGTGTGTGCTCAGTCGTGTCTGACTCTTTGCGACGCCATGGACTGTAGCCCACGAGGCTCCTCTGCACACGGGATTCTCCAGGCAAGAATTCTGGAGTGGGTTGCCATTTCCTTCTCCAGGGGATCTTCCCATCCCAGGGATGAAACCAGCATCTCTTGCATTGCAGGCAGATTGTTTTTCACTGTGCTACCTGGGAAGCACTTGATAAACATCAACTCTGCCACTTACTATGATGGTTTTTTTTCGTCTTCTTCCTACAAGCCTCCCTCACTGTTGTCTGGATAATTAGCTTTGCATGGGTGCGTGCATATGTGCTAAGTCGCTTCAGTCATGTCCGACTCTTTGCAAGCCCCTGGACCATAGCCCGCCAGGCTCCTCTGTCCATGGGTTTCCCCAGGCAAGAATACTGGAGTGGGTTGCCATGCCCTCCTCCAGGGGGTCTGTCCCGCCCAGGGATTGAACCCACGTCTCCTGCATTGGCAGGCGGATTCTTTACCATCAGTGTCACCTGGGAAGCCAGTTAGCAGCTGTACTAAAAACTCAATAGATGCTAGTAGCTGTTTTCATTTGAAACGTAAGGTTGTTTTTTGGTTGGTGTTTTGTTTTCAACCAAAGACTGAGGTTTCCATGGTGGGGAAATAGCTCAGCTTAGTTCTGTTTCTTTCTCAGACATCTGGAGTTGGTTCCACTGACTTCTTGGGAAAGATGGGTGAGGAAGAGGAATCATGTGACCCAGCTATTCGGGTCCCCTGCAGGGCGCCGCCTGGCCTACCCATGGCGACAAAGCCTGCTGCTTACCTGGGCAGCTGCACCGCCCGCCCCGGTGAGCACAAGAGCGGCCGTGGACATGACAAATCCACTCTCCCAGGAAACACACAGAGGCCAAAGAATCAGAACACCAACTCATGTGGACCTTTTCAGACTAAGCTTTTATTTTTTTGATATTACAAACCAGTTTTCTTTATTCACAAACCACTGTAAGTGATATAAACACTAATTTCTAAAGACAGATATACACATTTTCTGGGTTTGCAGATTGCGTGAGGTGTGTGTTAAGTCACTATATGCCACACATGATAGTAATCTTTTTTTTTCCATAATTCATAATAGCAATAGTTATTTAGATAAATGAAAACATTCCAAATAAATACCGTTTAAAAAAATCCAAAATGTCTGTTTACATCTCTGACATACATTTTAAAATGACTTATTGGCCTCTTGGAGGAGTGCCTGACAAAAGAGTCTGTAACATCAGTTGGCACCCACTTGCTCTAAATGATTTTATTAAAACTACATACAGTCATGGGGGAAAGTACAGCTCATCAATGAAAATCAAAACTGCAAATTAATTTTACTTGAACCAACACAGTAAGAATTCTATGTTTGTGATTCCAAATACAGTGCAAATTCTGGATTTTGAAATCTGAGACACATGGGAGACTTTGCTTGATTCTCCCAAACCCCCTGTTCCTTCTACCTCACCCCACTTTGGGGTCGGATGCCTTAGCATCTTAATACGTCCTTTCCCTCAAAAACATCAACCAGGCACCCGTTGTCGTAACACCTTCTTCCACTTGGGGGAAGATGAGAATGTCTCAGGGATGCTATCAAGCACCCTCTCCCCTCTTCCCTCCCCCACTGGTGAAAAGAATAGTTTTCTCTGCTTTTGGCTGCTAAGCAGCAGTTTTCCCCCGTTTCTCTCTCTTTTTTTTTTTGTTGTTTTTTGTTTTTTTGCAAGATCACGGTGATCTTAGATAGCGAAGCTACAGAAACTCGGTTTTCAAATCTTGTGAAACTTTATTGATGGTTTAATATCCAACTGATCTTACTGCATGCACATTGGATGACAAGAGAAAAGCTGGATCACAAACACTTTTTTTTTTTTAAGTTTTGTCTGGTTTTGTCTTAAAGCAGAGTTGTTACAGCGGATTGGCAGGTTCACAGCAGTGAGTTGAGAGCTTTACTAAAGTGCGTGCCATAAGAAGGCCTGCACCGCACACATGGAAATCGTTAACTATGGCAGCAAAACTACTGGGGACGACTTGCTGCAGGATATATATATATATTTTTTTATTTAAATACAAAAACAGGAAGATCCGTGACAGATACCCCAACTGAGATTAACTTTGTAAACAGAACAACATGAAAGGACTTCGAACAGAAGAAGTATACAGACAAACTGCAATTTTTCGGATGCGTCATTTTGGCCCTGCTTCCGAGGTGGGGGGGAGGGGGTTGTTCTTTAGGGGATGTTGAGGGTGGACCTACTTTTTTTGCTTCCTTTTGACAAGTGTCCTGGGCCTTGGAGACAAAAAAAAGAAAACTAAAGATATTGATTTGAGAGAATCCTTGGGGATCGGGAAAAAAATGAGGGCGGGCTCTCACGGACTGAAAAATTGCAGGTTGCTTACACAACACAGTCATGTTTCAAAAAGTACCAAGCAGATGAAAATACCATGATTATCTCTACCCAATGATTGCAATACTTGTAAAATGCTTCTATAAATCCGAATATGATTATCATGTAATTCCATAAAAATTATACGTCTTGTCTGTAACAGTTGTTCTACGAGGCTAAAACTAAAGCTTCGAAAGACTGTTTCTAGAACTTAACAACGCCACTGCACAGATGTAAATTTTATACATTTTTTTTTTCACTGGTACAAAGAATTTAAGTTTTTATTACTTTCTTTTTTTTGGAAAAAAAGAAAAAAATAGAAACAGTGCTTTTTATCACCTTTTTATTAATGTTATTTTTTTCCCTCCCATAATATAAAAGTCAGCAATGATATCAATAATTTATTATACTGGAAGAAATATAAAAAGAATGCTTGCAGATGGCCTAACTAGCAGTCTTTTGCCTAAATAACTAGTGGCTGGTTAAGAAGCTGAATACTGCCGGGTGGAATGGTTGTAAAGGGTGGGTTTGCACAGCTGCATTCAGCTTGGATGCACAAGTATTTCTAGAAGCATCCTCTTAACAATCTAACCTTTGGCTTGAACTGACAGTGAGTAACTTAGAACCGTTGCTATATGGACGTTGGTGCAGTGGGTCGTTTAGATTCATCAGTTACTTTTTTTTTTTTCCCTTTCAGCCAAACCCCAGTCCCCAACCCCCTAGGTCCCTCCCACCCTTCCCGTTTCATAAAATAAAATAACGTGGATGCAGAAAAGAACATGACTCCTGTAGTCACTTACACTCTTCCCCAACAGCTGATAACCCCAGTAGCTTAATATTCAGCATATATAATTCATTTACAGAATACAGCACTCTGGATATGGCCCTATACCAGTGTTTAGTCATAGCTAGCATCTCTCTAGATCAACCACAAAGAAAAACTGCCTACAGCCAGCAACCAAACTACAGAACCTTCAGAAATGAAAGACCCACAATATTAAAATACACAGAACAAAATATCTGAGGTATAAGATAAAAAATGTAATTTTTTTTCCTCTTTTTAATTTAATTTTTTTTTTTTTTAGATGCTAAAATGATGCACTACTGCATGTATTGCAATACCCAGGCCTCGGAAAGCTTCCTTTTTCCCCACATTGGAAGGTTGTTTTTTTTTTTTTAATGGTTTTTGTCATTTAGTATGGAGCAAAACGGTTGTATCCCCCTCGGTATATACTAGCCTGCAATGAAGAAAGAACGAGACCCACATCGTCAGCATGGCTCCTAGTCTTGGCATCAGTCAAGGGTGCAAAAGCATTCTGAAACAAAGCAATTTAAGGGGTGTGTTTTTTACATTTTCCTTTTGCAACACGTGGATCATCAAAAAAAGACTACTATGTGAAAAAATAGACACTCGGAAACAACCAATATGGAGGCGTCCCCTACCCATCCCGGGCACACTTTTTTGAGATTTGAAGATAGGGCCAAGCCTGACCTCTCCCCACCCCGCAATCGCTCCTTACAACGAAAAATCCCTGTAGAACCACATTCGGGCGGCCAGTCCTGGGATCTATAAAGGACTCTGAAACAAATGGGCCGCTGAAAGATTGATGCTGTCTCTTATTGTCGGCTTGTTTGAGTCACTAACAATACTGTGCGTCAAGGATGCAAAAGCATTCTGAAACAAAGCAATTTAAGGGGTGTGTTTTTTACATTTTCCTTTTGCAACACGTGGATCATCAAAAAAAAAAAAGACTACTATTTGAAAAACTAGACACTCAGAAACAACCAATATGGAGGCGTCCCCTACCCATCCTGGGTCCCCTTTTTAGAGAATTGAAGATAGGACCAATCCTGACCTCCTCCCCCCATCGCTCCTTATAACAAAAATTCCCTGTAGAACCAAATTGGGGCGGCCAGCCCTGGGAGCTGAAAAGGACTCTGAAACAAATGGGCCGCTGAAAGATTGATGCTGTCTCTTAGGGTTGGCCCGTCTGAGTCACTGATAACAATGTGCTCTGTTGGGAAAGGCTCTGTCTACACTCAAGATGTTGCAGCAGAGAACTTATTGAATGTTGTCATTCAACCCTCTGGGCCAACACTTTCCCCCAGTGGACTGGGTGTTGAAGTGGAGTGGCTGAATGCAAAAGCGGGACGAACATGTAAGTCCACTTTTTGACTTACTTGTTTGACTCAGCTGAACAATCTGTATGGAAGGTGCTCTTGAGAGGGGAGTTGTGCAGATGAATTACTGGATGTCACTGAGCTTGTGCAAAAAATGATAGGTTTCCCAATCATGGTGGAATGTCTACCGCCAAGCTCCAGGGGATTGCCTAGCCGTGGTTTTAGACGGCACTTAACTATCTCCTTTTGTGAAAAGTTTTGGCGATGCCAATGAACGCCTCTGGGGCTTTATCTTTAAGAGAAGAACTGATCGTCTTGATCTCAAGCAGAAATCTGCATGCCAAAAAAGCTCTGTAATGATTGCATACGCTCTCAGGTGATGGGCACGTCTTACTGTACGCTTTTAGTGCATAGAAGTTTGAACGAGTACAGGCAAATTCAGCATCCCCCCCTTCACCTCCCAGTGTTGCCCTCCCCCCAAACCCCTCCCAAAACAAAAACCCAGCCCCCCACCCACAAAAAAAAAAAAAAAGGAAAAAAAAAAGAAAAGACAACTCCCAAACTGCTTCCTTCTAATTCCTCATGTCCTAGGCACACACACAAAGCGTGCCTCTCTCTCTATTTTCTTTCCTGGGCGACTACGACTTTAAGCATGAATTGTAATAGGGGAGGAGAGGCAGGCAGGTTCTCAGCTGCCTGACAGCAGAGGCCTGGAACTGTGCAGCTTAGCTCCTCTGAGGTCTGTGGTGGGGCTGGAACCTTGGGGCTATGTGAATGAGCGGCAAGGGAGGGAGGGAAAAAAAAAGAAAACAAAAAGTTCTGCATTGACACTGCATTCCGTTAGTGATGGATTTCATTATCAACATGACTAATTATTCCATTAAGGTAAGTGCTTGGCTAGGTGAGACTTGCAAAATGAGAAATATAATAACTTACATGCACGACATTGCCAAGAAATTAAGACATTTATCAAGTTTACTGGGAGGATTAATGTGGCATTTTTTTAGCTGCTGTTAGCACAAGAGACAAATCCAATTAAGGGAAAGTGAGGACGTCAGCCGTCAACCCATCCTGAGAGCCCAGCTGGGGGGAGGGGCGGATGGGGGCCAGGGGAGGGGGGCAAGGAAGAAGCCAGGAAGAAGAGGAAGTGGTACTCACCATGGCACCAACGCCGTAGGTGGGGGCTGGAGCAAGTGTGTGGTGGTAGGGGTCGGTAGCATAAACTCGTCCGTAACTAGAAGGAAGACAGAGGGGAAGATTGAGCCATAATATGTGATTACGAAGTAACAATAACAACCGTAAAACACAAAATACCAAGACAATGTGGAGGGGCCCTATCCATCTTGAGAAATGAGAAACACATTCCAATCGGCCACGTAACATGAGAAAAGTCCATCCTATACAACACATTCCTGTGTCCACGTAACATTGCTGGAGATCAAAGCATGTGGGGTGTGCATGTGTTTCCTCTCTCTCATACAACACTTTTACACTCTCACTGGGTTGGAAGCAGGCAACAGCTTGAAAGAGTGGTTTTAAGAAAGCCAGGAACCACAGAGGACCCATTATAATCAAGACAGATTGTCCTCTTTTCCTAACAGAGTTGTCACCAATCAAGTGAGACAGGGTGGGCCAAAAAGGACCCAGTCTTTACAGTTAGGGTCCAACATGTCAGAATGGGAAAGAACAGATGTATTCAAACAGAAGCATCCTTGAAGGCTTTGTGGGACCTCCCTCCCCCTCAAGAATTAGAGCCTGATGTGATTTTTGACTCTATCACCCCAGAACTTCTATCTCATCAATCTCTAGCCAGGTTCTGGGAAGGGATACAGATTAAACAATATTTCTTTTCTTTTAAATAGTTTTTTTTAAAAATACAGACCATTTTTAAAGTCTTTATTGAATCTGTTACAATATTGCTTTTGTATTTTGTTTTTTGGCCAGGAGGCATGTGGGATCTTAACTCCCTGACCAGGAGTGGAACCTGCATTGGAAGGCAAAGTCTTAACCACTGGACCGCCAGGAAGTCCCTTGAACAATATTTCCTGGTGACATTTCTTTATATCAGGATTTTTTCCTCCTCTCTCTACCATCCTCCTTCCACTGCCCTGACTTTAGAATAAAGTCAGGCTTTAGAATAAAACTGTAAAAGAGATGGACACCGAATGCATCAGATGCCTCAAAGTGTCTGGAACTGAACAAGGCAATACATCAGATATCAGAGCTCAGAGAGACGGGGTCATTTGCTCAAGGTCACAGAGCTAGACAGAGTCAGAGCTGATCCTTGAATCTCTCAGGGCAACTCTCATGCTCTTTCCATGGTTCCAGGTACCCTTCCTTGAATGACCTGCTGGATATCTTGTTAGAGTTTGAATGCCGTTGTTTTGGTAATGATCACAGCTGAGATGCAGGCGAGGTTAGGTGAGGGTCTCTGGAAGCAAAGTCTGAAATGGAGATTCTTCCGCCCCTGATTTGTCCGGGGCGGTGCGTTTAAGAGGAGGGAGAGGCAAGCAGCTCAGAGAAAGGGAAAACAGAGAAGCAAGGGTGTATCAGTTCTGAGCTGAAAACTAACTTCTCCCTAATCCTGAGTTGCACCCCAAAGTTGATCCCAGCTGGAGGCAAGTGAGTTGGCTTCTTAATGCTCTTGTTAGTTAAGCATTAGCTGTAGACTTCCTAGAAGGGCAGAGGATAAACTTCCTAGTTGCAGTGGTTCTTTGGGAGAGGGTAAGTCTCTGCAGAAAGAGGCAGTTGGGTACCATTAGCGACCAACATGACAGTGGCTAGCAGAGGGGTAAACCAGCCACTAGATGGGGTAGGTGTGAATTATCAATGGCTTTTGAGTCTTGGCCATTCCTTTAAAGAAGGAAGGAACAAGGCAGGAAGAAGTCATTGGTCCATACTAGCAACCTTGGGTCGAATTTGCATCAACTTTATTCTTCTCCTTCCCTGTCTTTCCCTACTTGCCTTCTAAACTTCCTTCTCATAGTTGATGGATAAGAATGCACTGAATGGATCTCACATCATGAAGCCTGAGAAGGAAGAACCAGGGGGAAAACTTTCTAACTCTCAGGCTCTGAGTTAGACTCCAGATGGGAAAAAAAAAAAAAGATTATACTAAGCTCCTGATTCTGGGAAAGATTGAGGCAGGAGGAGAAGGGGAGCAACAGAGAATGAGATGGCTGGATGGCATCATCAAATCAATGGACATGAGTTTGAGCAAACTCTGGGAGATACTGAAGGACAGGGAAGCCCAGCGTGCTGCAGTCCATGGGATCGCAAGGAGTCAGACACAACTTAGACACTGGACAACAAAATTCTAAGCTCTCATTGAACATGCTTTACTCCCAAGCCCTCTGCTCATTTCAAAGGTCACTGAGCTCAAACCATCTACACAAGTCTTCTGCCTGATCTTCAAAAGGGTCAACATTCAGCACTCTCCTGATCCCCAAAAATGAACAGTGTTTCTTTTCTGAGATGAATCTCTCAGTGAAACTAACAAATAGGCAAGCCCTTCTTGCTTTCATTCCTTGGGACATCCTTTGTGACTTTGACTCATGGAAACTGCCTTTAATCAAAGATTCCCCCCTCTCTCAGGGAGGAAAAAAAAACAAAAAGCAGATGTATGTCCAAGACAGAGTGTGTTAAAGCAAGAAGAATGATGACTTTTTGAAATAAATCTTTTATTCATGGAAGTTACTCATGAAACTGGGGAGTTTACCCCTAATTAGAAACAGCTACTAATAGGGAGAAAAGAACATGATGGATGACTTTGGTGTTGATTTTCATTTCATGAGAAAATAAAGTCTGTCATGGATCTGGAGGGGAAAAAAAAACATAATAGGACTATTTTTAATGTATTTTCAACTGGCAAAGCTGGTTATAGGAACTGGCTATAAATTGCAAAAGTGAACTAAAAATGCTTGGATATTTACTAAATGATGCCACAGCATGGTATTCCTCCAAAACAAGCAGTGAGGATGCTAATTCAGAGCAATGATTAGTAGTTGTTTTTTTTTTTTTAATTTGGGGACTGATTTTGCTGTGGCAAAAATGTCCCATTTTGAACAGATAGCAGAGTGGTGGTCTGAATGTGAAAAGGTAACCCCTCACTTTCCCTTTCACATCCTTTAATGGTCATTCTTATCTATCGAACCTCCATAGAAAAATCAAGGTAACAGTTTGGCAGTGTTCCCTTCCAGGGCAGAAGAGAAAGAGAGCAGCACCAAACTGGTCCTCATAAATGAGCAAGCTCCTTTTTGCTCCTCGGGGTGACCTCTACCTTCAGAATCCGATGGTTTTATTATGATTAATAAATTTCATATCCACAGAGGAAAAGGGTCCATGTCAGCTCAAACTGAAAGCAAGGAGGCTTCTTTACAAATGCTAATCTCGAAACATGCCCTTCTGTGACACCACCTTTTAGACACAAGGTTATCAGGGAAGATGTGGACTGGAGCTCCAGGGACGCTGCGGGGATGTTGGCCACACCGGTGACCTCCGGTCCTCAGAGCTGCTCGGTGGAGCCCAGAGGAAGAGGGGCGGTTCCTCGGCGGGAAGGATGGGGAATGCCCGGTGAACACTGTGTGGGGACTGACCCGCGCCTGGCGTCACCCTGCGGACCAGCCATCCCTGCCAAAGCGGACAGGCATATAATCGGGCCCCAGTGTTCTCCGTGGCCCACAGCCCACTGGTCAGAAATTACGGATGAAATCTGAAACATGTCCATGTCACTCACGCTAGCACCACCCTGACATAAACCACCAGTATTTCATCAGAACCAAATCAGAAACAGTCATTTATATCTATATCTGCCTATCTGTCATCTGTCTGTCTCTCTATTTATCATCTATAACTTTTCTGTCTATCTGTCATCTATCATTTATCACTCTGTCTCTAACATCTATCAATCATCTGTCTCTCCATCATCTGTGTACCTATATCATCTATCAATTATCTATCAATTGTCTATCTATTGCTCTATCATCTATCTGTCTAGCTGCCTATCATCTATCTTTCCATCTATCTAAATATAAACCTGTATCAACCTAATTATACCTAATGCCCTTGCTTAAAATCCTTCAATGATTTCCCACTTACCCTAGAATAAAATCCAACTTGCCCAAGTCACCCCTACCCCGCTCTCACCCCCATCTTGCCTCCCCCACCGCTTGCTCATCAGGACTCCTAGGACACGGGCGAGCTTGTTCTCCCCTTGGGACCCTGGCTGTGCTCATCTTCCATCTGAGCTGCTCGCTTTCACCCTTGACCTCTCAGCTCAAACGTCAGCTTCCCAATGCTGCCTGCCTCCCTGACTGCTCTTTCTTAAGCGCGCTTTCCAACCACATCCCCATCCTTCCCGGCATGGAGCAGATCTCCATTCATTCTGGTGACTTACTTCCCGACCTGACTGTGTATCTGTGCCCCTTCTGGAATGCCAGCCCACCCCAGGGGCTGGGCGGCGTCTCTCTTGCTTCCTCCTCTCTCTCCATTGTCTAGCACAGCGCCAACTTCGGGCCAGGTGAACGAGGAAGCAAGCCAACGCCACTTGTTGAGTGAAGGAGGGGTAAGGAGAGACGAGAGGCCTGGGAAGACCCTGGTATCCACCATAAGCTTTCTGTCAGTAGCCACCATCCTAGGAGCTATGCTTTCTGAAGATTCTACATCACCTGCTCCCAAAGACAATCAGAACACTTCAAGATGCGCAGAAGAAAAGTTCCTTGAGTCTCAGAATACACAGTGTGTTATTTCCCATCATCCCTGAGTGCTCACAGAGGCCAGGATGCCGCTAAGTTCATCACGCCCCTCTCCAGGGCATCTTTCCGACCCAGGGATCGAACCAGGGTCTGCTGCATTGCAGGCAGATTCTTCACTGTCTGAACCATCAGGGAAGTCCCAGTTCATCAAAGGGAAAAAAACAAAGTGAAAAAAGATAACTGCTCTGCTGTCTAGTTTGCTGCAGCTTACAGCCGTCATGAACCCTCCTCTGTTTTTGACCTTTGCAACAAGAAAACCAGGAGGCTGACCTGCCCCGCGGAGGACAAAAGCTTGGAGCCAGAAGATCCAGGTTCAAGTTCTCCCTATGCAGCGTCTTTGATCAGTGATGCAGGGAACTCTCTCTGAACCTCATCATCCTTGTTTGTAAAATGATTCTGCTCTGTCTGAGCTCTGCCTAATTCACAGATAAAGCACAAGAAAGGAAACCAGGGGCATTTAAAAGCCATCTACAGAGAGGGG